GCCAAAATCAAACTCAAACTCGTGTCATGTTCGACACTGAAATCGAAGTACGAGCCAGCTTTTAAAAATGATACAAAGCTGAAGCCAAGATGAAAAGTTTCAAATAGCAAGAAGCCGAAGCCAGCAGTGAAGAATGGCACAAAGCTTAAGCCAAAGCCAAAGCCGAAGCTCAAGCCAAAGCCGGCCTCGCTCAGGTGCCTGAGCAGAATGGGTATGCTTTGCATTTAGTGTTCGTAACTGATCCATAGTAACAACACAAAGACTTGTGTTGTTAGATTAAGGGGAATGTTTCACATTTGATTGAAGATATTGAAGCAAGCATCAGATATGACGAAACAAGCTCACTTTTAACTTTTGGTATACTTCTCTAAGTAAAAAGACTGCTCCAGATATCACAATTCTCTGTTGAGTAAATATGCTCCCCAATGCGGTATGGTTTGATTACATTGACGTACCATGCACAACACTGATTGAGAGCTAGTTGACGGACGTTATAACTGGCAATTGCGCTCACGAACACCAGATATGAACGCCCCGACGACTGTTTTTTTTTGCCTTGATTGCCGCCCGGCTTAAGGAATGGCAGCGTTTGAATGACGTTACGACGTCATGAATGCCAAAGTGAACTTAAATGCTCTCCCCCAAATAGTTTTCCCAGCTCCGTGGCGGCGTGGCTCAGAAACTACAAGGACTTAGATCTTAACGACAGTGTTGTGAACAACACCGAAAGGTTTTCAAAATGGCTAATTCAGTTTGAAACCCCATATCAATGGGGAACACTCACTTTAAGCTAGAGGTATTTAAACGACGCCGAATAGCCAAAAATAAGAAAAAGTGCTTTTTTAAAATGTAGGAACTTGTCATCTGTAAGTTGAGCATAATTACCAAAGTAAAACCGGAAGAGAACTGGGGCTCCAATGCTAGACAGTCTTGCGTTCGGCCCAGAGCTGCGAATGTGCTTTGTATGGGAGAGGTTTGCCTGACATGGTGAATGGGGCTTACTGGCGAGAACTTCACCGGCTATAATGCAGACAACAACGACGCGACGTCGTAACAGTGGATGAAATCGCCACCCATGTAACTAGATGATGTCATGTGTCTCTCTTGAGGGTCCGGTAACATCCTGCAACATGGTTGGGCACCTCTTCGGCAAAATCGTTCAGCACACTTAGAGCTTCGAATATGTGATGGGGTCTGCAACAGCAAGCCTTGTATATTTCAAGCTCGGATCACAACGCTAATTACTTACGGGAAACTACTTTAAGTTTCTAACACGCATGACAGCCATCTCTAAAACGCGGGACTGTAAGTTGCGGCAGCCGCCACTCTAAACCAGGTGCCACCAATGGGAGAAGGAGTAATTCCCCAAGAAGAGAGCACGACGGACTCAGGGGGGCACTGCCACGTGGCCAAAGCACGCCTGATCCAGGCAAAACCATCCGGGCAGCGTCAACGGGCAGACGCGGACCGAAAGGTGATGTTGCCGTAACATTGCCATGCACCACATGCACTGAGCTGGACATGTCTGCTATAGAAGCAAAACAAAAAGCAAAAAAGCAAAAAGGGCCCTTTTTGCAAGCGACATGAAGCGTTTAGGCACCAGTAAAACACTGAGTGTGCAATTATGTGATCTGATTTGTGTAGCCCGACCACAGTCTATATCGACTTGTCATGCTGGATGATACTAATCGAAATTTTTCCATACCGATACCGACGTGCATATGAGCAACGTGTTCAAAGATTGCCCATTTTGGTTCTGAGACCCAAAACACGACCGATTTCTGAACTGTTTTTGAAAAAAAATTGGAGGCGCTGTAACAAGCTATATTTTATACCCATCAAACTCTGTCGTCTTTAATTGCACTTTAAAGCTGTTTCTGAAGTGTGAAAATACATTGGTGAGGATCTAAAAAGATATCTTCTATTATGCGGGGAAGAAAATAATACGTGGCCCTGATACTCACCCTAAATACAAAGAAAGGGTTTGTTGGTGTCATTTGCTACTTGTCACACACTCATTGTCAAGGGATTGCCTGGGCAGTGTTGCATATAGCAAATGAAGATGGTGATTTCTGTCACGATAAAGTAGTGAACCCAATGCTATTTACCAAAAGCAACAACAGAACCTACAACGCAGTGAGGTTTTTAGTACGGGAGTGTATATATAGGCTTGGAATGCTTTGGTGAAACATATATGCGCCATATCCATACTTCATGACGTACACAGCACGTGCATCTTCACCAAGTTCGCAAATTTTATTTATTCAGAATAGAAAACGAGTACACTCAGATGCATGCTGCTTCCACAGTACGTGTTCATGCCAGGGAAGGCCATGGCTGTTCATGACCAAAGTCGGTACCCAACAAAAAAGGATACGAAAAAAAATTGATAGCTGTGGAAAGAACAAAGCGGAATGCTCAAGGTCACTAGTCGCCAAGTTTATTTATCACTCTTGAGTTTGTAAAAGCCTGTCGGCGACACTTTTTGAGGTCCCTATGTTCTTCGACGACAGAGTTAACCTGCAGGAGTCTTTTGTATGCTGCATTTGCAAGAAATGCACCATGATCGCATGATCCGCATTTTGGGAGCCTAAAGCCTCCAGAGCCTTATATTTTGCTGATGCTTTGTGAAGGGAAATGTGAATTATGGATACAATGAGGTGACAGATGTTGAAGTTCATACCGGTTGGCCACTTTGAGTGGGCTAATCGGGCGAAATACGGGGCAATTTGATAACATACTTGCGAAAATAACGATAAAGAAGGAGATAAATAACCGAAAAGTGTGCTGCAGCACTGCATGTGAAAGTCCATCGGGGGATCGTTGATTACTGAAACTAAAATATTTCTTGTAAAAAGAGGATGTGTACCGTTAATCCAGTCCATCTTCTCACCATTCTGTTTTCCGGGGGCTAATTGGATCACTCTACGTTGTTGTGGTAGCTTAAGTGTTCGCGGTAGGGCTTATTTCGAAAGCGGCGCTTTGATGTTTGTGCAATGATTGCCCGCCCGGGGGATGGATAAAAACATGCAGGTGAAACGTCGAGTTAGGTAGGCATGCTGGAAGTTTGCCTGGTTACGCACAGGTTTATGTGTTTTAATTTGTTCAACCAGCTACAACTGCACGGGGACTCCAGGAGCCTGGCCGCGTTCATGACATGTAACGGTCGTAAGATGTTCAAGAGGTGTTTTTCGGACTGTGACGCATTCCCGCATGCTTCCAAAACGTCATGGGGAGGATTCAGCTCAGCCTGGAAGGAATTCAAGTGCGCACGGATGATGTTATGATGCTTGGTAGGGACCTTAAGCACCATGAATCTCGCCTACCGCTGTGCCCGACAGGCTGGGGGCACATGCATAACTGAACCACAAGAAGTGCAAGTCCAAGATGGGCTCGTGGGACTCCCTAGTATTCACAGTGAGTGCCGCAGGCATCTTGATTGGCAAGGAGAGGACGAAGAGCCTGGGAGACATGTGATCACCAGCATAACGGAAGGACCAGCAGGCGGCGTTGAGACCGTTTGGATTCTAAGCCAGGTGTATGAATGACTTCGTGAACATGGTGGAGCCGTTCAGAACAGTGTTGGGAAATGAGCTCCAGACAGGTCTGATTACACAGAGGAGCCGGAAAAAGCGTTCAGAGCAGTGGTGAGTGCCATCACGGAGAGCTCGGCACTTGTATAACCCAGCCCTACCAACAGTAGTGGCACGTGACGCTTCAGACGTTGGTTTGAAGTCAAGAACATTCGGGAGGGAGGGGATAGTGGCATCTGCGGTCTTGAGTGAGGAACATCCGGAATGGAAGAGGGCAGGAGCTCTTACTGTAGTAACGGGACGGACTTTTTTGTCACAAAAGGTTTTCGGCAGTTGGTTTTAGTCGGTAAAAATTGGCACGAAGACTGTTGCAGTCACTGTCTACCAACCGAAGCACACTGGAGCGTTGTTAAAAATCACAATCATCTTCGTCCCAAACCCTGGTACACTAGCCATGAAACTTGTGCTTCTTTTCCTTTCGGGATCGTCTTCTTCCCAACCAAATACAGTCTTCATACTCGGCGTCTTAGACAGAGAAGCATACCAGGCGGGTAAGCCAGGTGCATGAGCCATGCTACTCACACTTACGTCGACGCGCAGACAATGGAGCTGTTAACGCGGCCATTCTGTCAGTTGTTGCTGCAGCCCGTGCGGCGTAACTCGAAACAGGCCAGAGAAAAAAGGCGACATATGTAAATCTACTATGCAACGCCCGTTGCATGTGTAAAGCCATATTTCGTTAGATTGCTCAGTCACCGTACTTCCGACATTCACTCACGCTGACTGGATATCATGTCACTTGCTAATTTTCTTGTAGCACTGTGCCCTGCTGGTGGACTTGTTGCAATAGCCACTCGGCCGTTGACCTGGTTGACATAAAGTCTTATTTTATCTGCTAGCTCGAATGATTCACTATCTTGCGTCAACTTCTGGGCGGCCTGCTGCGGTGTGTAATTGACCGAAGGCCCATTTTACTTGCTGTGGTTCGTCAGCTGCTGATTGATCCACGCCATTAGCATGTGATACCCACTGGTTGATTTGGTGTTCTCTGCCTGTTGACTGCATTGCTCCAGTGCCACGTGTTTCCTTCCGGCTGCCTTACTACCGCGCGCCAAGTACTGGTTGACCTGCTGCCGTTTGTCATCCGTTGGCTAGCCGGCATCAGTGTCATGCGCGCTCCGCTGGGTGTCGTGTCGCAGTGCGGCATCGGCTAATCGGCATGCTGCAGCGCGACACCTACTCCTTGATTTGTTGCCGCGTCCCACCTGCTGGCTGACTTGTGTTGTCATGTGTCACCAACCGGCTGAATTGTTGCCGGGTGTCACCTGCTGACTGACTCGTTACCATGTGCTACCTGTTGGCTTGCTTGCTGCTGTGTGTTACCTGCTGGTTGAGGTCACCGAGTCGGAGCACGACGCCGGCCACGCCGCTGTACAGCGCCAGCAGTGGCGCCGGCGGTGGGGACACCCTGGTCACCAGGTTGGCCGCCAGCACCGCCGCCAGACACGAGACCACGCTGAGCGACAGACTTCCGCCCGCGAACGACACTGCGGCAGGCACAAGCTCGGTGATCTCTAAATAAATCATCCAGACCATGCATACTTATATCGATGACATGTTTGGGGCATTATTTATGCGCTACAGGTAATTCTGAAAGTGAGGTAGTTTGTAAACTTCATTGTCATTTAGATGGTTATGAAATGCTTGGAAGTTTACGAACCATATCACGTTTTAAAAGGGTCATGAGCTGCCCAGATATGCCAGACACTGATTGATGCTCTGCAAATCCTGTAGCAATGTGCAATTCAATGTTTTTTTAATCGTCATTGTTATTACACATTAGACGCCCGGAAATTGCTCCACACCTAGATATGCCACCACCAGCAATGCGCCTGCTGTCCCCAAGTCTGCGATAAGGCGACGGGTGTTTCGCTGTCGTCCGCCAGCACATTTTACACTGCAACCGAATTTTTGTGGTCCATTGGGCTTTGGCCCTATCGCTTCGCCCACGTGGGTCTGATTTGTTCTCGGTCGCAGCCCATCAACGACGGAGGCCATCAGCGACGGAGAACGGTCTCCACCGGACTCTCGCCGGCTCATCTTGTAACAAGGCCCATGCGGGAAGCGAACTATGTTCACTTCAGACCAACTACTTTACAAGTGTAATCCATACTCTTGCAATCAATTTCAGTTTGGAAGTGTAGGAAGACGAGCGCCGCCTCCAGTCCACTTAGTTGACTTTGTGGATAGTTGCATCACGCAGAACACAGGCGACGAATACTGGTGAAAATGCATGCTTAATACCAATAAAAACAGCCCACAATCACAATTCAAATAAATCAGGCTTAGCGCATCAGAAAATACTAATACCAATAAAAACAGCCCACAATCACACTTCAAATAAATCAGGCTTAGTGTGTTAGGAAATACTAATACCAATAAAAACAGCCCACAATAACAATTCAAATGAATCAGGTTTAGCGCGCCAAAAAATACGAAGTCGAGCGGACTTTACACAGAACTTTCATGAACCAATCCATTAACTGGTTACCTTCGAGACGTACGCTCAGGTAGTCGTTAGGCGCCCAGTTTCACTGGTGGTAGTACAAATAATGCAATCCCAGGAGCACACAGCTTTTCATAAACAGAAACAGTTTGAAGTTAAGCGTGCACCTAGCAAGTACGAGAGGGTGATAACGCAGCCACTTACCAACTTTCGGTACCTGTGTTTCCACCCACAGGGGGCATGAACCAGAAGAGGTTGATCAGGAAAAACACCAGTGCCACTGAGTGGATGGTGCACACCTTAATCTTGGCAGACGAGTCGGGTGGTAGCCAGAATACGACCAGTATGTGGATAGCCAGGGCTGCAACGAAATAAAATGAGCTAAGTAAATACAGCATTAATTGGAGAATCACTCGCGGTGCACCACGTCCGGTCTCCAAAGGAACAACGGAAACAAACGTGGCCATCTGAGCACCACACATGACGTGTTAGCTTTGTATGTCGCATCATGCACCATCAACATACAATCCAATCCGAATATACCACACTGTTCATGTGAGCCACCGCAGCTAACCTATCGAGCAGAATACACGGCGAAGCTTTCAACAATCACGGAAAAGGATCCGTGCCGTCTATACTTTCTTGATTGCTTAAATGTGAAGAAGTGCACAAGAAGCTGCCCTATAGCGAGCGCACAGCTTGCAAGTCCGGTATTCAGGGTGTATTCGCAGCGCACCAAGAATGTCCTTTTCTGCAGGACGTCACGCAGAATCTTTGCCGGACGTGTTCGCAGAATGACACGTTTCCTGTTAACATCTTCGTATTTTTCGTGACAACAACTATGCATGCGAGACACTGGTGTTTAGATTTCCCACGCGCTACGCGTGCTACTTACAATGAAAACTGCGGCTTTTTTCTTTGAAATGAATGACACAGCTTTTCATAAACCGTTGTTTATCCGCAAGTTGACCTCATACATGAACCCGCTTTTACCATTTCGGTCTCACTTTGATCAAGTAACAGAGCAAGATTCTACCCTTCTGGCAAAGATTATGCGTGACGTCACGTGAAAGCTTTGCCGTCCGGGTTACTGCGAACATCAAAAGCCGCAGGATCTTTGGGACATGACGTCATGAGTGACGTCCACGGCATATATTCTTGATCTTTCGGGTCGCTACGCACATGCCCTCAGCATCCCAACGACGTCCATACACAATCAGATGCATTCAGGAAATTGATAGCACAACTGGGTTGGCACACCATCCGGCTAAAAAACGTACCATGCCTTAAAACACCTTTGCACTTCGGTACACCCTGCTATTCATAGATCACGTGCTTTTCCTCTGCACAGCAGTTAACACCTGGCAGTGTGGTATATTTCCGTAAGCAAACGCGTCAAAGAATGAATATTTATCTTTGCCGAGCAGCTGGTTGGTTGCCCCCAAGGTGTCTTTCCGGACACACGAAAGGTGATTTACGAATGGGCAGTGAAATCTGTACTAACGGCTGATATATTCGCTGTGCAAATTGTGAGCCATCCCGAAGTAATGCAGGCCATTGAGTCATAACGTAAGAGGCCGTGGAAGCTCACTGAGCGGTGTTCACAAGTAGTGGTATAATTTCCTATTTAATTGGGTTGGGGGCTTGAGCCCTCCCCCCCCCCCCAACCCCCAACCTCGACTCCATCCCTCCCTCAGGCTAAGATGAAAGTGGGCCAAATTCGGGGAGAAACTCGTTTGTTGGTGCATTTGAGGGCAGGTCGAGACATTTTTAACTGTCCAGTCTCTTCAACCTCCCCCCCCCCCCCCCCCCCCCGACTGATTTTGGAGAACTATGCCCACATTCACTAGTACTGGTTTGGATGTTCCATAGCACAAATTACGCAGAGATTAGTCATGCAATGTGTGAGCACGCGCTTGGGTGGCTGGTGGGACACGACACGCTCGGGTAAAGGGGTCAATTTGAACTCCTCATGATGCAAGAAAGTAAGAGAACTACACATATCATGATCCTCGGGTGAACTTAGATCTAAAAAGGTAAACTCGCAAAATTAGTGCCGCTGATGCCTTCAAACTTTCTCAACTAGCAAACTTCTACAAACACCTCTTCCTATGAAACTGTCAGTCAAAGTGATTGCAAATCAGTGCGTGTACTCGACCGCTTAGCTCTCGCCCTGATTCGCCGTTTCTATAATACGAACGGATGGGGGAGGGGGGCGGGGTGATGCGCCCCTGGCATTTCCACTGGCAAAAACGATGTTAGATAACCTGGAAATAACGGGAGCGGTGTAAGGGCGCGGAATATGAGGGATGAGCACGTCTGGATTGGAAAAACATCGGATAATTCTGGTCTACATATTTGTTTCATGTACACATTTTGACAGACATTTCCTGTATTGACCAGACGCGGATCCAGAATAGCTGGCCCCAACTACAACAGGGGATCTAGCGTTCTTCTGGTTTAGATTTAGGCGGATACCGAACCCCACTGTTTCGAGCTGCCGCGATGTGGTAGTGGCGGTGTTAACAAATGCCAAGCGCGGCGTGCGTTGTCTCCCGGCCGGCGATCGTTGGAGCATCGGAGTGTTAACGGTGATAGCGAAAGTATGCTCCTGAAACTGACTCCCTGTGTACACCTATGAATTATCTATTTTTTTACACGCAAAGTTAATAAACATGGACGCACTCGGTGTATCGTGAGACAGTCGTAATCCAGATACCAGAGGCTGCATAATTCCCCAACGCCGGAATTTACCAAACGTCATGTCCCATCTGGGATCGCTATAGCATATTCTCAAGTGGCAGTAACATCTTCAGAATCATCAAGGAGGACATGGGGACTACACTGGTATCTAGATCAACAGGGCGCCCGCAATACCCCACTGCCCAGCAATTCATGCAGCAAAAGAACGCGTTCAGCCTTGAGAATATGGCCTATTACCCTCCCTCTTAACACGCCACTGCATAAATGCATATGACGCAATGATTTCATGCCCGAACTCTGAAAATAAAAGCAGACTGGATGAATACAAGCTGCAAAAATCATAACGTATTTTTCTAGGCACTTGTTGATTACCTGGGAGTGCCAGTGATTTACACATGACTCTTTTGCCTTGTGTATTCGCCCATGGCAGCATTTTGTACGCTGTGTTTTACAGAAACGTGGTTCCTACCACAAGTAATGGAGTGCAGTCTTCCGAGAGGAAATAATTCGTACCTTTCTCGAAAGACGAGTTCTCTAGCTGCCCACCCCCTGCATCGCTGTTAACGCGTCACCAGGTCGGTGGTGGCCGCCGCCTCGGGGTTTCCCACTTTCCAGCTTAGACAGCCGGAAAGGCTGTGTGAAGGGCCGTTGGATTGGCGTGCGGGACGCTGTCGTATTGTACGGCCTCGTCCCATAACTGCCTGCCGCCGGCCGTTGCGGCCTCCTGGAGCCGTGCTGTATTGATGTCTGGACTTTACCAGACTGACACAAACGACAGTGTTTTGCTTTTGTGCCTTCGTTACATGCTATTGGTGTTTTTGTCATTGTCGCATCTTCGTTTGTATTCAACAGCATGAAGCGCGTGGAGTCAAACCAAGCATTATGTCATAGATATTGCACACTTCGTAATAGATACCCACGATAACGACGTTGGCCGCCACTATGCATGGTTCCGCACTGGTAAGCTGAGATAACGCAGCGTAATTTAAGAACTCGTTGACAGATAGCAGCAGCACCGGTAGAAAAATGTGTGATGGTCTGTGAATACCCGCTCGTAGAACTGTGGATGCATTGCCAGACGAAGCATTTGGTTTTTCATTTTTCATGTTTAAATTCCATTTCATTCAGGCATTTCAAGCATTTGCAAGCAATACAGACTTATCAAGAAAAAAGTTCACAATTGAAAAACGACCAGCCCCGGCCAAGCTGCAGCGGGTTGGAAAGATAAGCTAGCTTACCGCCACTTCTGCTGACGCCATTTGAATGAGCGCATTACTGAAGATCATAAAATGCGTTCGGGAAAGTAAAAAGTGGAAGTTTTCCAAAAACTGTATCTTGATTCCAAGTATTGGAACAAACAACTTTGTGGCGTTGCTGCTTGACGCGCGGCGACGGCTGAATATCCGATAATTTTTAGGGGCATGGGCCGATTGCGAATGTTGCCTGTTTGCCTCCATGTGTTTCTATATCGTAACAAGTTGATTGTGGAAGAGTTGGGGCGGAAATTGTTTTGTGCCAACGTCCCTCCCCCTCCCTTCCCTTCGTCGTTCAGCCATGACTAAACGACTACGCCGTGGGATTCATGCAGATACGCGGCTCGACATGGGTGTCACTAGAATTTGATATTAAGGGTATGCCATCGGCGTGGGAGGGAGGGGAAAGGAGGACGTACGCAATCACTTCCTCGTGAATCGTGATCGGCCGGAAAAGACGGGGGTGGTGCAAGCCTCCCGCCGCCAGTGCAGCAGCGCGGGTGTTCGGTGCGTGGATATCATTCGTGAGGGCCTCTCCTCGATTGCGTTATTGGGGGTCTCTGCGTCAGTGGGTAACCTGTGTCACGGAGGGAACAACGCATGATATATCCCTGTGAGGCCCTCAGCATGGACCTGGGAGCTCCGGCCCCCGTTTCGCCAGAATGATAGCCGTTCGGTGTCCCGAGCTGGGATGGAACGGCACTTCACCCTCTGACCTGAAACATACTGGACCACGTCGGGCATCACCCACGGGTTTGCCTGCCCCCCCCCCCCCCCCTCTCCCCTCAAAGGCTAGGAGTCTCATAACAGTTCAATCCACAAGTCGCCCAATGCACGCGCTCTGCAGGGCACATTTAGATGGAATACTTAAACGCGTACCGACTTCATCTCTCGCCAGTAAGTTGCCTAACCTGTCACAGGTACCTAGCGCCATCCTGATCTATACCATGCATTTCTCACGATAGAGTGTCGGCTGGGCACAATTTGGAATCGGAACAAACGCACAGCAACACTTTGTGTAAGCTGGTGTTTGCTCTCCCGTGGCGCAGTTGGTAAAGCATTAAATATCTGACCACTTAGTCGCAGGCCATGTGGGATCCGTGCGAAACACGCTCTATTATTTGTCTTGTGAGAGACAGCCAACTGGCAGTGAGCCGTGAGAAGCCCGCGCTCGGTCTGGTCTCGTCGTTCCCGCCTGCAAAGGCGACCATGGCATCACTGATCACGTTCAAATCTTTTGGCCCAAATTACCCGTTGCGCTAGAATGGCTCGAATGGCGCGGTGGCGACCAAGACCTCGTAATAAGCTGTGCTTAACGGTGATTCTGATCCCAAGCCGATCGAACAAACTGGGAGCGATATTTGAGGCCATCCTTGAACTTGGCACTGTCTCGGTGCTGCTGAAAGGCTTTGTGGTGCATGCAAACAAAAAATTTACCAAACACAATTTTTAAAGGCTCCTTCCCACGCTGAAAACTATCCAAAGCCGCCACCAGTGTGGTCCAAAATATGCTTCTCGACGATATGACGCCCAGGAATGGCAGTTCTGGTATTTACAAGTGCTGTCATTCAACCGGGAAACTTCGGAAGTTCAAAATTTGTGGCAGGTCAGACCCACTTATCCTGCGGTCTCGCTCGAAATCATGTGGCGTGACTTGTGGCCCAGTGGGCGTCTCAGCGTGCGAGTGCTACGTTTCCTGCATGCTCTGGGGTTTTACGCAAGAGTATGACGCGTTCGTACTTGCTATATCTTCGACCCTGTTCTTGACCTAAAATTTTTCGCCTGCTTTGCAGTAAATGTATTCATGCCTGTTTATCATCATCCGAGCCAGTATTCCTGTTGTGACCTTACCAACGCAAGGGAGGATAAATGAAACGGCGTACAGCATTGACACACGGGCCACGTGTAGCTCTATGAAGAGCTCGTGCCATGTCGTGTCAGCGGCTGCGCTGTAAGTGCCGTTCACCAAGTAACCCTTGACGTCCACCACCTTCCAGTGTGACTCTGTCTGTACCATATCGCCAGCCGTCACCAGTTTCTGAAATCGCGACAAACGCAGTCAGTGCCAACTTTTCATGCACGCCGAACACCGAGTGAGCTCCACCAGCTCCACGAGCTGTCGACACACGCAGGACCATACGGCCAACCCGCACCGTTCGCGACGAGCCCCGTGTTTCGCGCGCAGCAAAAGACCGGCGTATGTAGGATTACTTTACCATCCAATACGCTATGGTGTCTGGGGCCATATATCTCTTGCATGCGTATACTCCGGTGCCTCATTTTTCGGCCGTATTCATCATGCCCGTTCCGCGGAATTCGCAGTTTAACAATGTACGCAAAGCGGTGAGAATCATCTGTCCTCGCACACTGGTTGTGGGGTCATCAAGGGCCCGCCAGGGCTACTAACGCTTCCGCGAAACAGCTCATCGTGCATCCAAAGATCACGATAAGGACTATGCTGTTATATAATGCCGCATAGTTCAAACTGCATTCCTGTTTAGTTGTACGCACCATGAGCCAAACATAAAAAACAGAGTATAATCTGCATGACATGAGCATAACATGGCATGAGCATGAGCATGAGCATGAGCATGAGCATGAGCATGAGGGAGCATGACAGCACATGACACAGCACAGAGCGGGCATAAAAATGAATACACAGCATGACTTACATCTATACAGTAGAAAATTAGACCAAATTAACGATCCGGCTCATTCCGGGATCACAAGCATTTTAGGCGACCAAAGTGCGGACGCGCAAGCATTGCACATCCCAAAACGAACCAATGCACTCGCCTCGGTCCAGTTCTAAAGCACAGCGACGCTGCCGCAGACGTGTGCCACTGTACTGACGCGTTCCAGAGCGGAGGGCTGCAGGCTGCAGCTGGTCAGCGCCGCTGCCCGACTCACCCCGTCGTAAGCCGCCGGCTCCACCTGGTGGCTGTCCGTGTCGAGCGACCAGGAGGACAGGATGATCGTACAGTTCTGCTGGTCGTACGGCCAGGAGGCCAGCTCATTGAGGCAGCGCACGCGGAACGTGGAAGGCGTGACCCAGACGACCGAGCCGTGACTGCTCACCGGCACCGGCACGTGCATGAATGTGGGCTCCAGGTGCGAAACCCTGCGGGCAGATGCGGGCTGAGGGCTGTCCTCCGGGGCTTTAGCGGTTTGCTCGCAAAACTCTTTCGCCCCTCTGGCAATGGGCGCCACAAGCGAACGGCTCCAATCATGTCGGAACGGCGGGCGCGAGCTGCTGGCGTTCGGTACTACACGAATGGTATCATCAAGACCTTGGCGACGAAGAGAATGGTATCATCAAGACATTGGCGACGAAGAGATGCCAACGGGACAAATCGCCCGTGGATGGTGTGGCGGGGTCAGGCACAAATTTAAGCATTAGATGCGATTAGAGTCGGTCTTTCATCCTGGCCCATGTTTTTAAACAAAAGTGACGAGTTATTTGGCAAACCAGTCAGATGATTTTCGTGATCCGCTCGACACTCAAAGGCGTTTTCACACGCGCCCGGGTGGAGGGGGGGGGGGGCAAATTTGACCCCTCGAAGGTTTTTCCGGAATGGTTTCCGAACGGCACGGCGAAGCTTTGTCAAACTTTTGCATAGCTGTAGAGAATCGAATAGCGGATCGTTTTATATCAATAAATTCAGATGTGCCTTGTACGATCGCTGATCTACGGCAGGTCAAAACCATGGATGTAACAAAGTCAATTTCTCGGGAATCGTTGCATTTGATGCGACACCGGAGTGCTAGACGAAGGCACACACCTCTGAGGCGCTTTCTTAGCCAAAACAACAATTGAATTAACAAATTGCATTGACCTAGGGTCAGAAATGAATGCCAAAGCAAGGTTAAAATCAACCTGTTTTATCGCTCTAGCGCTTACTGTATGGAGTAGTTTCTGGTGCTTCTTTCGAATCTATGATAACATGAACCGCATAATGCATCTTCCATGAACTTCTTAAAGGTCGGAAAAGGTCACTGACCTAAGAAGACCCAGCTGAACATTTGGTTTTCACGAACATATTGCCTAATCTAATGTGTATTACTTATTCAAATGCAATGCAAACTCTAAGCAGTTGTGTATGATTTTGGTCATCATGGCCTTTGAAAAGTCAGAAAAGGTCACTGACCTCAAATGAGCTTGTGATCTTTTGCTTAGAACATGCATCTATGTTCTGGGGGCGCTTTGCACACCAACCTTGAGTTTGACCTTGTTTCATCTTGACTCGAAGGCCATGATCTAGGAACCTCAAACTTTGACCCAAGTGAATCATTGTATAGGTCAACGTACTCTGTGAATTTGGTGTCACTACCCCTCTTAGTTGCTGAGATCTCAGAGGGGTCAAATTGCCAACCAGCTACCTGGACGCGTGTTAAAGATTGTATTCCCCTACCGACGGTGTGTGAACCCCATGGAACATGGACAACGGTTCCAAGTCGTTGGCTGTTGGGCTCGGACGTTATTTTGTACTTTCGTCTGTTGGGTCTTGTATTATGTTTTTGTATGTGTATATCAAAAGCGTTTTGCAATCAAGGTGTTGTGAAGTGCATAACACTTTATTTTGGGTCAGAACCTAACGGCGACTGAGGTGATTTTGTGCAACTGTGAAAATAGCAGGCCCTCGAAAGGTACTAATTTCATATATTTTCATGAAGTTTATAAATTTGCTATGCCTGGATGTATTCGTCCGTAATCTCATTTAATGTCATTCACGCTCATCACGAAGGGCACATAAGAAGCCAACATCACGCGTGGACGTGCTGGCTTGTACAAAACCACACACCATACAGCAGTAACACACAGAGCGGCGTGGCGTTGCATAACACCCTTTCTCACCCATTGATGAGCACAATGTCGGGCAGCCAGATCTGCTGGCTGGTCATCATCACGACGTATACATCGCCGTGGTCGCTCGGCTGCCACGCCAGCCTTGGGTCACGCCAATTCTGCAACAGCGCCCGGTGCAGGTGCACGGTCACTGGTGTCGGCGCTGTTAAGACACGGCATCCGCTCAATCGGCTGGTTCGGGCTCTGTCCGCTAACAAACTAGCAACCGCCTGGGTGAGCACTCCGGCTGCACAATGCCCCAGATTCGGGAAAGATGCTGCTCGCCTAAGGCGATGTCACGAAACTGCTTGGAGGTACGGGACCTGGCTTCTGAGTTTCACGCAAAAATCACGGGAACAAGAAGGAAAAACTCGGCAGGCATGCAAGAAATACGCCGCTACGCATCATATTGCGCACGCCCGCACGCAAAACGTATGTAACAATACAGACAGTGATGCTACTGGATTACAGACCCTCAGATCGGCGCATCAGAACGCCAGCTGATTACTGTAAGTCGGCAAGGCCAGCGTCATCGTCCCGGACGGGAATGTCATCATCGGCAAGAACGCCATCGTCTGGCCAGCGACATCGTCCCGTAGGAGAACGCTCGCCGAACTAGCAACACATTAGTATCAATCTGCAGATGTACGGAATGCCACGATTTGCGGAAACCTGGATGCAGAACAGGCTTGGCGCACACATTCTAATAAAAACCATTTTTGAAACGTTTTTGGCATACACAGCTTTCGAGTCATGGTGCATGGATCAATCGACTCCCATACTTGCCTTAAAGCTCGCTGATTAAGTGGATCTTCACGTGCTGGGCAGGCAAAAACAGAAACCAACATAATGGTAGCAGCGGCAATGAACACGTCTGGAGAAACTGTGGTTTAAAGGGGGCGTTCAGATTCTTCACGAAAAACTTGTTATATCAGCACAACCGGCGGAGCACAGCACAACGACAAATATGCACAGCATAGCTGGCAATGTTTAAACGCACGGGAAAAGGAAGCAGGCTGCTGCAAAATTGGCCCATATGGTTACAATCGCTTCAAAAACAGCACTGACAAATACAAATTAGGACTTTTCCACATTATTAAAATTCTCACTCCTAGCTAGATCAGATGCGTCTAGATCAGATCGAAACGGCCCACAATTTATATTTAACGTAGCCGCTCTGACGGGAGAAATGTCAATGGACTTCCTGTTCACTACTATAAATAAAGCTATACTTTCCATTTCCTTGAATTTTTAAAACACGTGTGTTATGAGATGTTCTCAAAACATCAATAGGCCAAGATGCCGGCACAATTTACTGCACGAGAGTTTAATACCCTTTATTCAGGGTACCAATATCCACATGTGACGTTATTATCACGCGAAATCAACGAATATCCCACATGACTTGGGTTTCTCCCGTATGAACATATGTCTTTTAGAACAGCTTATTCTTTTCCTAGGGGTTCTTTGAAATTGGAAAGCATTTGATAACTCAGATGTTCAGTTTGCTGCAAGGCTGTGTTTGAAAGCAGATATATAATCAACATATCACGCGGTTTCGTGATGCACATGCACGCACACACGCACACAACTTCGGCCTAAGGCATGTCTCGCTAAACGCTCACGCTGTCCGCTGTGCCAATGACAAGCGTTCATGTGTACCAACGTCATTCACACTCCACCCATACGAAAATGCAATATATACATCCCTCTGCAATCAATGGTGGCTGGAAGTACTACTCAATGTAAATGATATAATTGGCTGCCTTGCCACAACATGGTCCCATCCGGGAGACACCAGCTTTGCCTGATGCTATGTGGCAGCAACAATCTGGAGCTACGTCTTAGAAGGGAGGGACTAAGAAGAATTGAGGTACGTTAAAAACAAAGCTACGGAAAATGACCCTGTGGACCCAATGGACTCAAACTGCGAATGTTGCGTGGAAAGATGCGGAAGGTCGTGCATCATGTGAAAAATATGACCGGAGGGAAAGCCCAGCAATAACATTAGAGGACGTGCTTTCTTTGCCTCCCGATTGCTACTTTCACACAAAGTGACTATGAGGAAATGGTGGAATAAGGGAAAATAAGAAAGTGCACTTTGGGGTAATGTTTTGGATAAAAGGAACAGCATTTTTCTTGATCCGTGAATAATTCTGAAAAAATCATTCTGGGAGCAAACCATGAGATTTTGGGACACTTCGCACATTTCGCGGATATTGAAGAATTTTAAAAGGAAGACCAAATATTTCGACCAAAGTAGGCAGAAACAGGAAAATTACCGCTATCATTTTGCTAGCACGCCGTTGGACAATTTTGCATGTTACACCCATTGTTTAGTCGGTTGTAACTACTGAAAACGAGTAGAGCAGTGTGAATGCTGAAAGCAAAACCAGGATACGTAATTAATAGTTCATAAACAGACCGATTTCTTGGTTAAAAGAGCAGGATTACTTTCTGCAACCACAAAAAAATGCAGCGCGCACAGTCTTGAACCAGGAGCCCAATCGATGTACTTCTACAGATTACTTCATTTTTTGGAACTCAGCAAGGCCCCAGTCTCCCAGTTCTCAGTACCCCACGCTCATGGCTCCAGTGCATTGATGATCATCTAGGCACAATGCGCTAGCCAGTGAGCCATGCTGGCCTACTGTAATGGTGAAACAAATTGAATGTAACCAAATGACCACAATCAATTGAGCAAACCGTTCTGAAGTTTGCTACGATGACAGCAGCACAGCGTGACAATTCTCTGAATTCATAAACCCATGTCAGAATGTTTCTTGTTTATTATTAAATCAGGCTGCACTTGTTCAGTTTTCACTAGCGGGCTTAGAAGAAAAACGCAGGGTAGAAACGGTTATGGAACGTTGTATTGGTACCAACAAGATATAAGGGGTGCAAAAAAACTTGCAAAGCAAAGTGAGCGCTTTGCTGTTCGCCATGAATGGTTCATAGTCGTATCAAATCACAAACATTGATTGTTGTCCTTGACCAGATGCTGCAACACTGGGTGCTGACGTTCTGCTTAATCTGTTGTATATGATTATGCAAACTGTACTACTATATATATTTAATGCCGTGCAGTGTGTACTATACATGCAATCTGCAATGTGTACTATATATGCACACGCTTCTTGGTGAAGAGAGAACCATTGTTTGCCTTAAAATGTGAGGCACCCACGATTTTCGTGAAAATCAGGCTATGGCATGCTGAGCAGGACATTGTGTACATCCTGCGAAATTTCTTCGCACTTCCCAATCTCCATGCCCAGGCTCAAGTGTATAGATAATCATCCAGCACAATGTATGACCCGATGATCCATACTGGCATACTGTGCCAGCAAAACAAAATGCAAAAAACAAAAACAAAACTGGTACATTTAATGATGACAACAGTACAACATAATGTTGTGCATTGTTATACTCATGTCTAAAAATATGTCTTGTTCTTTAAGGGTTCAGCTGAACATGTCCAGCCTTCCAATCGCACCCCTCAGCAAAAACACAGGGCAGAAAAGGCACTGAGCATGTTATAGCTACTAACCTGATATCAGTCCTGTGAAGCAGGCCATTGTTTTGCTTCACTGCTTTATTGCTATGAAGGATCCATAATGAAATTTAATCCCAGCCTGTGATCGTTATCTTGGAGCATATGTTTCAATCGTCGTCCTGATTCACCGTTTCTTTTTTACGACACGAACTGACAAGGGGGGGGGGGGGGAATGGGCGTCGATGTGACCCCCTGCTGCTTCCGAACCTAGCCTAGCGAACGCGCCTGTCTAAACGAGACCTCACGATTGTTAATAATTCAGTCGCGGCCATGATGTTTTTTGAATTTCCATGAACAATGTAATCCTGCTTCGCAAAAGCGACTGCCGAAAGCTGCAGCGTGATGTACTTGAGTATTCAAAGACGATGTAGCCGCCTTCAGCTACGGAAAAAGCATAGCGACTTGCATACCGGTCGCTGGCAATAACATGTTGGCGGTGAATGACGGTGATGACCGCATGGCACCACCGGTAGATGAAGGGAGCGCCGGCCGCCGGGCGGCTGCTGCAGGGTGGCTTGACGACCCGGAGGCGGCCACACGGCGTTGGCAGATCAATGCCGTCGTTTGACATTGCGCCAGTGACGCGCGGAACGGAGTTGAAGGCCGCTTCTCGCGCTACCTTTCAAAGACCTTCACTTATCCACTGTTGGCACGTATCTGGGCACGGCGTGGCTTCCGTCCTTCCGAAAGTCATGCTGCCGTTGCGCTTCGAGCTTTGGCACAGCATGCCGCCCGCTGGGAAGCCCGCACCCGGTTACGAACGGTCGGCAATCTGCTCCAGTAGTCACCTTTGTCTGGCGTTAAAGGTGTCTGGCTCTGTGCTGGGCCACGGCGCGTCCCTTCCCTGACGCTAACGATCATGAGAAACATCCCGCTGTGTCTGCCTCAAAACACGAACTGTCGCGCTGGATGACAAAAGGCAAAACTCTAGCATTCAGTTTTGACCCCGGAGCATGCGGGCCCTTACGCGGGGGAGTTCATACGCGCTGGAAGGTACTGATAGCGGGACCAGCACAGGGTGAAGGCGGCCTAGAACTTTTCAGAACGCACAGGTTCCTGCGCTGACCCAGAGTGGGGTCAGTGTGCTTGAAATGCCAATCGGGGTCAGGTGCTAAAACGATTCACTGACGTAGCTCCCATGAGGCCCCTGGCTACCACTGATACAGCGACGACCACGACACACGACCACACACACAGGCCCATGGCTACGACCGCGACAGCGACCACGACCACGACACATTTTAACGACGCCCCAGCATGCGGTCCTTCCCCCTCCATCCGGCATAAATCTCGGCCGTTGATTTCTAGTCATGCCTCTGGAAGCGGCGCAGCACTTACGAGTTTCCGGGAGTTAGTAACGCAAATGTCTTTCTCACTCGTTCAGCTGCAACCTTCTTCGTCAATTGCAGCAGGGCATAACTAGTGCCAAACGAAAACGATCCGAGCTAGACCTGTAGCCAGCCTCGAACCAGCGCACGGTCACAGGACTCGTCAGGAGTCCACAGCCACGACTCGGCGCACGGCCACAGGACTCGTCAGGAATCCACAACCAGGACTCGGCGCATG